GGACTTCTGTACTAAACGGATCTTGTGGCGTTTAGCAAACTCTTCATCTAAAAAACAAGTAGATGCCCCCGAATCCAATAAAGCTAAAGTTTTTTGTTTTTGAGGGCCTAAAAACAAAGGAATTGTAAAACAACGGGCAGGTTGGACAGAGAAGGATGAACCTGATTGTTGTCGTGATATTAGATTGTCCAGCCGCACGGTTCCTACTGTGGCTGGGCGTCGTCGTTTTCCGGAATCATCGCACTTCTAGTCTTGACAGGGTGCCAATTTTGCTTCTTGGGGCAATTTCCAACCTTATGACCTTCTCCACAGTACAAACATAACTCTTCCTCCATACGTCGTTTCTTCTCTGTTGGAGTAAGAGATCGGACATGCGACGTGTCGATTTGCATGTCTGTTGCCTTCGAATGTGAGTTTAAGCTATTTGCAGACATAGTCACGTTGTAACGAGTCATTTGGTGTCTTGGACGTTGGTCTTGGCAACGCTGGAATAGGCGGTTGTCACACTTTACAGCTTGGCTAATAGCTTCGTTGAGCGTTTGAGGATCAGGAAGAGATAACAGCAAGTCCTTCACATCATCCTTCAAGCCCCAATAAAACTGACTCACCAACGCCTCTTCACCCCAATTAATGTCACTTGCCAATTGTCTGAAATCCGAGGCATAGACTGATGCAGAGCGTGTTCCTTGTCGTAGCGATCGGATCTTTGTTGTAGCCCATCGAACTTTATCATGCTCGCCAAATGCTTCTGCAAACGCCTCCAAGAACGTTTCAAAGTTGCTCAGGATTGGCGATCGCTTCTCGAACAAGGGAGTAAACCAAGACAGAGCTTGTGCTGTAAGCAAGGTTCCAACAAGCCCAACACGCGCTTCCTCCGTCGGATAACGTTCGGGCTGTAAAATTGTTATCAACCTGATTTGGTTGACAAAACCTCGAAACTTGGAACGAGTTCCATCAAACTTATCCGGAAGACTAACTCGAGGCTCCTTTCGTTGTAGGACTACTCGATCTTGTTGAAATGGAGGTAGAACTGCTTCTTCTGGCGCAGAAGTTTGAGGCTGATATGCTTTAGATGGCGCTATCTCAGATGCTCCATTGTTATGGACTCCTACCATGACTCCTTCGATCTCTGTTGTCCTATGTGACAACGAGGCAAGAGCATTTATGATGGCGTCTAGTTTGGATTCCAAACTTTCAGCCATTTTAACGTCTTAACCTTCGGCTAACCTTCAGAAAGAAGAAAAAAGAGTTTTGACAAGAGGACAATATTGGTTCAGAGGAGAGTACTCCGCAACCTCTAAAACGCCTTAAGACTCCAAGATGAGGGGTAATCCACTCTCTCCAAGAAGAATAAGGCTCCAATATTGAGAAAGAAGAGATATCAGTTTAGAGGAGGGTAATCCGCAACCTCTAAAACACTAGCACACCTTCAAGAAGAGGGGTAATCCACTCTCTAACAAGAAGGAACTAGCTCTGATACCAGTGAAAATGCAGTCTCGACAAACTGTCACGGATACAAAATACAGACTTGAAATCTAACAAGAAGTTCAAAAAGAAGTGGCAGAACTAGATTAAACAGATGAATACAAGAACAACACCAGAAAGGTGAGCTAGAACTCCAAGAGATGTGTTGTCGAGACTGAAGAACCCTTCAACCTCGATTCCTATATATACTACTGAATAGGAAGCTTCTCGAGCTACTTCCGCTAACTAGGACGCTTCTCCAACAACTTCTACTAATTAAGAAACTTCTTGAGCAACTTCCTAGAATCTATCAAAATATTCTAAAACCTTCTAAGAATATTCTAGAACCTTCTAAGAGAATCTTTAGGGAATATTCTAAGAATCTTCTAGAACCTTCTAAAGGAATCTTTAGAGAATCTTTAGATAAAATTCTAGAAGAATATTCGAAGAATCTTCCAATGTATGTCCATGACACATAACATTGTGGATTTAACAAAATTATAGATCTTTAAGAGATTTTGAATAGCTTAAAATATAAAAAGTAGTCAAAGAATTTTTCAATCATGTAACTATAATTTAAAAGCCAAGACTTTACATCATCTATCTAAAAAAATTCTTCAAAGTCTATCTACTTTAATATAGTCTTTGTTATTTCTTTCAATAGATTTTAATATAAATGATCTAATTTCAAATTCTTTAGAAACTATTTTTATGATTGTTGATTTTCTAACCAATATGAAATATTGTTTTATTTTTTGAAAAAATTATCTTAGCTGAAGAAACAACCAATTTTTTTAATAATATCTATTAATATGATAATAATATAGAACTTAAATCAAAGCTATTTTTAATATTATTTAATAGATCTTAAACTTTATCAACTTATAAAGCAATTGAATTTTTCTTCAAGATCTTATTGCTTATAATAAGAAGTAATATAATAAATACCAATATTATTTAAATAAATAGAAATATATATACATATATATATATATATTAAAAAGATAATATCTAATTTAAAAACTTGAAAGAAATTTATTAGATTCAAATTAAATATTGAGACTTTTATAGATATGCCATGTAGCTATTGAAACTTATTCTATAAGTTTCTTATTTTTATGAAGTTATACTGAATGCAACTTATAACTTGGTGCATAGACTATAACTTCTACAAGATATTTTTTATAGGTTATACATAAGAAATAAGACTAAGGCCATCCTTAATATTATGGATATAAAAAAAGATTTCAAGATCTTTTACAAATCTTCTATATTATGGCAAATCTTTCTAAAATATTCTATGAACTTAGTAGAAGTATGTGGTAGGGAGCTTAAAAACTAAGCTATGTTAGGTGTCATTTTAAAAAACTTTTAGAATATCTTAGGAATTAAATAGGATAATTTAACTTATAGTGTTAGTTTTTTTAGGAAGCTTCTTGGAAGGCTTCTTGAAACTTGGCCAGCAAATCATTTCTAGTTTCCATAGCAATATATGAGAGGCCAAAATTTTAATCCTTAGATCTTAGAAGTATTATAAGTAGAGACAAGATTGAGGTACCTCTCAATCTTATCAATTTATATCTTAAGTTAGTTTTTATTAAGGTCTTTAGATATTCTATTCTTGACATTAACTATTGAATATTGTCTTCTTAACTATTTCTTCTTGTTTGTATACATCTTAGTCTTCAATGCTTAAAACTATTTTTTCTTGATTGAAGTTCTAAATGTGTCATTGATACTTAGTCTTATCAAATATTTTCTTGTAGTTCAATCTTGATTCAATACTTTTAGTCTCTTTGTATATAGCAATAATGATTTTAGTTCTTTTAAATTTTATAACTATATCCTCTTTTTTAACTTTTTTCCTTCTTTAATAAGATATGAGTCTATTATTTATAGATTTTTTAAATATTTGATATATTATTTTTATTACTATTGTGCTACACTATCAAAAAAAAATTTCAAAATTATTGTCTAGTTTTTAACTCACAAAGGTTCAAAAAGTTATCAACTTATCTAGAATCTCTAGAAATCTTTTACAAAAACTTCTAAATACTAAAAAAAGTGGAAAAAAACCTTTAAAGCTAATATAAAAGATTTTATCATATTCTTAAAATTTCTAAAACTTTCTACAAATGACATGAAAAGCCTAAAGATTTTTTTAAAAAAATTAATTCAAATTAAGATTATATTTCTTTATACTAAGTCTTCTAGGTATCTAAGTTTAAGAATTTCATAATTTAAAGAATATATATTATATACATCTTCTAATGCATAGCTTTTAGAGTTCAATTAATAAAAATATTATTCTTTAACAAAAAAAATTATTAAAATAAAAAATTAGTAATTATTAAGGTGATTTTAAAGAGGATAAAATTTGTGTGTTTTTATCAAAAAATATTATGCTTCTTGAAATAGACTTTAAAATGAAGTCTTTCTAAATATTAAACACTAATTCTTAAATTTAATTAAAATTTATTATTTTTATTAAAAAAATATTTTAAATTCATAGCAATTATAAATAAGAAAACATTATATATATATATATATATATATATATATATTTATATATATTTATATATATATATTTATATATATACATACATCGATTTTTTATTTTTAATTTAATAAAACCATGTAACTAATATAATGAATGTGATTACATATAATAATTCCATAAAAATATATGCTTTTCTATAAAATTTGCAATCTTAATGTTATTTTATAGTTGTTAATACAATTTAACAGTTTGAAATACCTGAATTATTCCCATTCTTTTTTTATTTGTTTATATGTTTATATGATAAAAACATCTCTAAATTTTATCTGTGCTTAATTTTATCTATATTATAATTTCTTATCAAGACTTGATGACCAAATTAGGAAATTCATCGTACACTTTTTTGAGAGATATTCTTTGAGGTTTTAAAAACACTCCAAAATAACCTACAAATCTTTAGATTTTTTTGAATAAAAATTAGAGATTTACACAGAATGTGCACAATGTTGTTGAAAGTTAATGTAGGTTACTTGTATGTACCAAGAGGCTCCATGAATGAATTTGTTGTAGAAAAACATAGTTTCTAAAAGATGGTCGTGCTGAAGTGATCTGCCAACTAACATATGTTTCAACAAAGTCTTTGGAATGTGGGTGTGGTATTATCCAAAGTCCGTGGACCATGTAAATTTTTAACACTCTAGTGCAGTATGAGGGCCAT